TTTAGAGAACATGCTTGCTTACCTAAGCACTAGGGAAAAGGAAAAAACAAGACTCTAGAAGAATCTGCACGTGCCTGAGGGCCTGGGGCTGGGGGAGTACAGGGGCTTTCCAGTTTGTACTTTCTCTACTCCTGTATTGATTGAATTTAGGCCCTGAAGAACTTTTTTAATTTAAAAAAAAATTTTTTTTAAAGCAAGTTGCTGAGATACAGGCTAAGGGAAGTGAAGAACAAAACCGTGACAGTCTTGCCAGGGAGAGTCTAATTCACTGGGATTGAGGCTGGTGTGGAGCATAGGGCGGGGGCCTGTGTGACTTTCTCCTTCATGCAGCATCCACTCCCTGGGCCTGCAACCCTGTGTTTACCTTTTTTGCTGTTAACTGGGTACCCCTCCCGACATCACTGTGGTTTTATTTCTCTTCCTCCCTTATCTCTGTTCCTCAGGTGCCTCATCGCCTTCTTGGGTGTCTTCTTAATCACACGTAACAGGAAAAAGTTCATTCCATTTGAGCCCTATATTTCCATGGATGCCATGCCAGGTAACGTTAAAATCCCTTGTCTCCAGCTGGCCAGCCTATCCGTACAGAATGACTGCTACTTCCTGTTTGAAAAGAGACAACCAGCTGCTGGGATTGGTACAGGGAAGATGTGCTGTGCCGTCACAGTTACAGTGTGACTGTCTCTCCCTCTCTCCCTCACTCTCTCCCTGTTCTTTTTTTTATCTCCGTATGCAAAAGAGGAGGCAGTGCTGAGAGGCACCTCAGCCTCCGTTGGTTTTGAGTTCATCTTGCCAATTCCTGTGTCTATTTTGGGATCTTTTAAAGATGATCCTGATTCACACTGGATATTAATTATGATCTGCAGCATCAGATTTCAGCTTCATTCCTTCAAAAGGAAAAATCCACTCACCTAGATGGAATGGAATGATCAGAGAGGAGAAGGAAAATAGGATGAATGAAATTCAGATCCCGTAACCTCACTCCTTAGATTCTATAAGGGAGTAGGTTGTTCTGGAAGGCCTAATTTCCCGGGGAGCTAAGGGTTCACACTGAGAAGCACAAGTTCAAATGCCTTTAAGCCATGAAGGTGACATAAATGTGGGATCCACGGGAGTGCTGTGCAGGAGGGAACGGTGAGGTCTATGGAGGACTGGAGAGTGCCTGTCCAGCCAAGGGATCCAGACTAGAAAAGTTAAGACACTGGGCCAGCCTGGTATTGGTGTGCTGAAACTTAAATTCTATAGTTTGCCCATGACCACTAGCTTTCACTCTTTAATTCAAAATTAATTTTTATTTTAAGTATGTACGATGGAACTCTCTCCAGAACAATCTCCCACCCTGCCTTAAGATAGTCTGATGAACAAAGCAGAACTACATTGCTTAATGAAGTATATGTGTTCTCAGGCCTAACGGAGGTGCCCCTACTTCAAAGGGCCCCAGGGTTTATGTGTCTATTTTTATATTATTTCCTCATCTCCTGCTATTAAGCCGTTGTCTGTCATTCTTGCTGTCACCAGCCCACCTGTGTATAGTAACACCATGTCGATCTTCTCATTTGACCCAACTTGTTTGAATTGTGTATAAAATGAAAACAAGTCAGCTCTGAGTTGGGGTCTTACGGTGTCTCCTAGGAGTTATAAGTGCATGAGCTTTAGTGCGTGGACTTTTCAAACATCTAATCTGGCTGCTCAGATACCTTTTTTGCTTACTTCCTTGTTTCTCGGCTGTGTTCCGGATAGATGAGGGCGCTGGATAGCTGAATTCCAGATAGGTGAGGTGTCAACTCTGTATGTGTGCAAGTATGTGTATATATGTGTGTTTGTGTGTTTATAAACTGTGTATGTGTATATATCTATATAAGTACTTGTATATGCATATATACAGATGTATTTTCCAGTAGAACATAGAAGGTAACCTAAGGTAATCTTAGATACCAACATTCTGTGGTGTGTGGATGTTGCTCTCACCTTCTTTTTGTGCCTTGTGACTGGTGGGAAATGAGATTGAAGAAAGGAGACCCTGCCCTATTGCTGTGGCATATCCGGCCACTTCTGAGTAGACACGCCTGCTCCACTATGAAGAGCGTGGGCTTTGAGTTTAGATGCCCTGGATTCAAATGCCAGCTCTACCACCTATGTGCTGTGTGACCTTGGGCACATATGTGCCTGAACCTCCTAAGACCTCTGACCCTCACTTGTAAATTGCGATTCCTGCTCTCAGGGTAGTGGGATAATAAGTTAAAGTCCCTTTGCATAGTGTCTGGGACATGGTAGATGCCTGGTTCAATTTGGTTTCATTTCCCTTTTGCTTTAAAAAAACTTCAAAAATTTCAAAGATTTGTTTGACATGATGCCAGTAGAACTTGAAGAATAAAACTGTTTAAACAGAGCTGCATGTCTAGCTACTTGGCTTTGCTGGTCCCTATCAGGACCTGGCTTTTGGTCTACCTTGATGGCTATCTTTGCAACAGACCAATAGCTGTGGTTCAAGAGGCATTCAGATTCCAGACCTTCACTACATGTCACCTGTCTGGAGAGGCTTTAAATAATTCTAGCCTGAAAGACTTCTAAAATGTGAGAAAGAGAAGAACAGTCCCTGATGGCTGGGAGCTGGCCTAGCACTGGTTAAACATAAACAATTTCACAGAACATCATTATCAGACAGGGTCACTCTGTGACCATGGTGGATCCAGACAGACAGGACCACTCTGTGATCATATCTGAGCACAGATATTGTCCAAACCCAAAAAGGACCAGCCGTCCTGCTGATGTAAGGTAACTGCTACTTCTTTACCCATCACAGTATTAGCCTCAAACTAGACAGGAATTGTTAAGATCCCCAGTTATAGAATCATCCCTATTTCCTAACAGCATCTCATCCAAAGCAAAGCCCTGCTTCCTTAAACCCTCCCCCAAATCACCTAACACAAGCCCAAGTCCTGTGAGTCCTTTCTATCACTGTCTTACTGAGACACCCCACAGTTGCCTGTGGTGGGCCTCTCCCTCCCTGCAGTGAGTAAGTGAGCCCACGTTTGTGAAACTATAGGTTTGTTCCTGGTGCATTTTGGCTGGAGAGCAACAACAAAATCCAAAGCCCAAACCATGCTTAGTGAGCCAACTCTCTTCCCTAAGGAACAAGCACCCCCTCATCTTCCCTACCCCAAAAATCCAAACCACAGACTTGTAAGCTGTACCCTTCAAATCACCCTCAGCTAGGGCTTGAGCGAGGTGGCAGCAAAGGGCCTTCCACAGACTGGGTCTTTGCAGGCCATTTGCAGAGTGAGTAAGAGCCCGGGCTTTGGTGTTAAATCCCAGCTGTCTCTCATCAGCTGCAACCTTGGGCAAGGTACTTCACCCCTCAGAACCTGTCTTCTTCTCCAGAGAATGAAGATCACAGCATATCTCTGTCATGGACCTGTGGAGGATTAAGTGCAGGTGTACAGGTGGAAGAGTGGGGGGGCTTCAGAGGTTAAGCAGCCTGAGTTTAAGCCCTGGCACTGCCACCTGCTAGCTTTGTGACCTCAGGCAAGTTACTTAACCTCCAGCTGCCTCACTTGCCTTACTGGTACTGTGGGATCAAATGAGGTAAGAAGGAATAATTGTTTAGAACAGCGTCTGCCACCAACTGAACACTCAGCTGCTATTCGCTGCTATTACTGTGTTGGTTGGCACTATTTAAAGCACTCCACCCAGCGCCTAGGGTATATTAAGCAGTCAGATGTCAGCCATTATTATCATCATAGTTTCATGGAAGACTCTTAGCATTCCATTTCTTATGACAGCCTGGGGGTAAGAGAATTTGAAGAATGTTAATTCCCTGCCAGGAAAAGAGTGGGCTTTAGAGAAGAGCAGGTCCCACCTGACTAGAGGAGTTGTAGAATAGGGTTAAAAGGATTGGCCTTGTTGAGAGTCTTTGCCGTCAGATGTAAGCAGAAATCCACCATCAGAGTGCCCAGAAGCAGTGAGCAGGATCGCACCTTAACCCTGTGTGTGGACCAGGAATGTCATATGTTAAAGGTCAAAACTGTCTGTTGGAGCATCATTACCATGATGCCTCTGCCACCGTTACATGTCTGGGACACAAAAGTCACCCTCTTCTCTCAACAGTAGAATGAAGTTTTCTGGATCCTGATTTAAATCAGCAGGAAAGAGTTGGCATCTACCACGTTCAGAGCACAGCACTGATTCCACTCCCCTGGGGCCCACATAAACATTCTCACTTCATTCTAGGCCAGCCCTTGGTTTCTTGACAGTGGCTGGTCTGTGTGCTTATTTCCTGAAGATGCATCTCTTGTTACTTAGCAACCAATATTTCTCGTGTATATTTATGGGTGTTCTTTTTTCAATCTGAAGCATTCAGGACAGTAACAATGCACATGATTAGCTCCACGGCACTATAATTGGTCTGTGGAGGGAGAAAGGAAGATGCAGCCTCCTTGGCCCTCTTATAACATAGTGATTTGGGGAAAATGGATTTCATTTCAGGTATGCAAAACATGCATGACAAGGGGATGACAGTCCAGCCTGACCTCAAAGCTTCTTTTTCCTATGGGGCCCTGGAAAACAATGACAACATTTCTGAGATCTACGCTCCAGCCACACTGCCCGTCATGCAAGAAGAACACAGCTCTAGAAGCGCCTCTGGGGTTCCCTACCGAGTCCTGGAACACAACAAGAAGAAATGAGTGCACTTGAAGACTTCCTTCCCCTCCATAATTACTGCTCTAGATGTGCTCACAGTCGTTCAACCCTTCATTCTAAAACTGGCCTTTGAAGTCTTATTTTTTTAAACCCAGAACTCTTTGGATGGGGATCTCGAAAAGCCTTTTCTCTGGCAAAGGATACATTACCTGGTCTTAGAAATGTCAAATGATGAGGTTTCAGGGGTAGGAGGAGGAGGGTGGGCAGCATGGAATTCAGCCTCTGCCTGGGTTAGCCTGACCGGATTCGGAAAGCTTTCGTCCTCCTTGAGGATGGTAACTGAGCTTCCTCAGTCTATGACCAAAGGTCGCCACGTTCTGCAGAGCTGAAGCCGGGCAGAGATTCTGCTCTAACTTTCCAGACCTAGCGAAAGGCTGGAGACCTCTGACTAATCTTGGCCTCACCTCACGTGCTGGTCTCATCTCTCCCCCGTCTCCCTCATGATTCCATATTTGCGGTCACACTTTTGTCATCTTCACGTGGCATAGTGGGCCAGCCCAGGGTGGCACATTCTGTCATTTGCCTGTAGGAAATGCACTTCTGCCTCCAGTTGTCTGTGCCCTTCCAGTGGGAATGTGCTTGGTGTGTTTATACTGCACTGGAAACTAATTTATTTTTGGTTCTGTGAACTATTTGATTGCTTCCCCTCTTCCCCCACTCCACAAAGGTACTAGGAAGCTAGGAAAGGGGGAGAATAAGGACAGCAACAGGATAATACTTCAGCCCTCCAAGGAGAAAAATCCCTTTTTTCATCTTACAAAAGGTGATTGCTTCGTTTATAAAAGGATAGAAAACCTGGCCGTTTTGTGTGTTTTCCTGCACATCAATGACTTCTGCACATCAATGAAAATTGCGGGGGGTGCTCATTTCAGAGATAGCCTCCCTCACCCCTTCTCCTGCCTCTTTTATAGATTGACAGACCAGGCCTGAGTTATTGGTTCATTTCTCTGAAGTCGGTAGAGACTCTCGGTCCTCATCCCCATGCACTTACATCTGGAGAAACAAGCATTCTCAGAAATGGGGCTGCATTTCGTTCGGGCTGCGTGCATGATTGTCTTTGCCTAGACTGCCTGTGTATGTTGACAAAGACAGGTGAAAGTTCACAAGCTTTAATTAGCATAAGGGTCCCTTAGGGAGTGTATTTAAAATCCAGATTTCTACTCCCAACCACAGATACTCTAAGTGGGACTGGGGTGGGGCCCAAGTGTCTGCTTTCCTAACTGGAAGCAGAGATGATTTTGATACAAGTGATCCAAGGATCACACACCTTGAAAGGCTAATACTGAGAGAAGTTGTCTGCTAAAACCCCCAGAGGCCAGCACATCCCTGCTGAATGTTGGAATTGCCATTGTTTGTTTCCTCTCTGGGGTTTATTTAGCAGGTCGAATAATCCCCATAGGATCCATGGCATTTCTCCATCCCGTTATTACTACCTAGAACTATACTTACTGCTCCCCTAGGCAGCCTTTAGCTAATAGCCGAGGTAACAGTGTTAATAGACCAATGTTTTTAGATCATTAACCTTTATGGATTGTGCATAGTACTGATTTAGTACCTTGACTTAAGCAACTGACATCTGTTGCCTGTGATAGCCACTTCTGTATTGTGTCTTAACCACTCGGTATTGTGTCTTACATGCCTGAGAAGGCAGCAGACAATGACTTTTTTCCCTTTAGGATAGGTATCAACCCAATTCAACAGTGTTTATGAGACACTTACTAGGTGTTAAGCATTTGGGTGATGAAGGCTACTAAGAGTAAGAATGGCTCCTGCCCTGCAGACCAGCAGGGGAGACAGAGATACTCAGGGACCCGGCAGGGCCGGCCATGATAGGTGCAAAATGCAACACTGGGCTGCGGAAAATGACAGCTACGGAGGCCCTGAGCCTGGACTGGGTACTCAGAATTGGAGATGATTTTGGCCTTACTCATTGATGGGAGGCAAATCTAGCTAAGACTTGAGCAAAGCATAAAAAGTAGGGTGACCAACCGTCAGGCAGAGGGACCAGCATTGGAAAGGCACAGAGATAGGGAGGGGGGTTGACCAAGAAAGGAGAGCTGGAGGAGGTGCTGGGAAGGATAAGCAGCGGACGCTGAGTCATGCAACTACCTGGCCACGGAGTTGAAAGTGTAACTTAGAGGGCACGGGAACCATTGATGGTTCATGAGGAAGGGAATGGCAGGATCAGCAAGGGGCAGAAAGGAGGCCTCATGCAGTGTGGAGGCCATTTAAATGTGACAAATGCAGGGACTCATTTTTGGCTATTATACGTCCCTAACCTTACTCTACCCTCTTCCATTTTGTGATATGGGCCTTTCAGCCTCAAGCCCGGCAAGAATGGTACAAGTAGATAAAAGTGCAGTGTAATTCCCAGTCAGCTGGTGATCGTGGCTTCAGTGCCACCCAGGCACTGCTGTTGGGGCCGCTGCAGCCGCTTTGCCACCAGGGTGGAAGCAGTGGTGGCGGGCGGTGAAGCTGCACTGTGAGAAGGCTGAGCAGGGAGTTGCTGAGTGCTTTCCTGAGGGAAAGCCCGGGTTTGGTCACCCAGGTGTTTGGGAGGAACAGCCGATGTGGAGCCATGGTCTCCAGAACTCTGTATCCTCGGGCTGACTTGCCCTGGTCTTTGTCCCAACTGTACATGGACTGTGTGCTACTGGCAGATCAGCAGCACTTGCTATGTGGCCAGGGCAGGAAGACATCAGCTTTCCACTTGTAGCCCTGATGCATTATTTTTGTCTTATGGCTCTGACATCCTCAAGCCCTCTTGAATGCTCTAAGCGACATTAAATATAATGCCTCTACCCCTTCCTAGCAGCCAGTGCCTATAACAAGGTCTCCATCTTGGGTTTAAGCTTTTCATTGTTCTTTGATCTTCCTCTCCCACCCCACACTGTCCCCCTCTTCTAAAGGCTAGGATTCTGGGTTCCTTAATCAGACATTAAAACCAGTTCTTCACAGACTAGTGCCTGTGCGTTTTGATGAGAACTCAACCTCTATCCCCTGACCCCTCTCATGAAGTCACAGATCTGATGGTTCCATCACTCTAAGCTTCAGGTCATGTGTGGTTTTTGCAGCATGGAATTGGATGCTGGGTAAGAAAGGGAGAAATGGCATCTTCATTGCTTTTCTGGTGGAAGCCTGGGAGCTTGATTGTGCTGTGTGCATACAAGACGTCCATCAAGGCGGTGTTGGAGAACCTCTACCCTGCAGTCTTGTGAATTCCAAATCTGGTCCAACACTGGCTGATAGGAAAAATAATTTTACTGTGTTTCTTTGAGAAGCTATGTAAATGAAGTCACCTTAGATTATATATATTCTTTGTGGATGCTTATATTTTGTTAACTTTGTGACTCATATGACATGTCTTATTTTTCAAAAAAAAAATGTGTGCTACGTGCAGATAACATTATGAGGTAGTATTTAATTAAACAAATCCATGTGATACCTGTTCAGTTGGAGTTTTATCTTTGGCTAATACTTTCTAGAACTGTATAGAAAAGTGCTGTCCAAAAGTCCTTTCTGAATGATAATGGAAATATTCTATGTCTGTGCTGCCTTTAAAGCAGCCACTATCCACATGTAGCTGTTAAGCTCTTTAAATGTCACAAGTGTGGCCTAGAACTAGATTTTTTATTTTATTTAAAATTGAATTATATACCCACACATAATTAGTGGCTGCTGTCATAACAGTACAGACCTAGCGATGTCCAGGCTTGCAATTAAGACTGAATGAAGCACTTTCTTTTTTTCCTGCAGTGGTTAAGAGCAAGACTCGTGGCTAATTGCTTAGGTTTTATTCCTAGCCCTACCACTTATTAGCTGTGTGGCACTGGGCAAGTTGCTTGACCTCTCTGTGCCTCATCTGTAAAACAGGGATAGTAAGAGTACCTAAGGGTTAGCATAAGGATCAGATCAGTCATCCCATCAAGGTGTTATACTGAAGCAAGGATTTCCCTCTTTATTTTCTTACTCATTTTCAAAATATGTAATGAACATTTGTGATTTTTCTATATTAAGTAATTCTAAGCACGTGTCCCTTCTGAGTTTTCAATCTACACAGGCAGGTGTGGTATTGTGCTTAAATATTTATTTAAACGCACATACACACAGAGAGTCACATTTGTACACTTAAGTACTTACTATATGCCATACACTATTTTTAGACCATATGCAAATTGCGATTCTTTGTAACAATTCCGTGAGGTAAGTTTTAACATTATCCCCATTATGCAGATGACGAAACTGCGACTCAGGTCACATAGCTGTGGAATGGCAGAGCCAGGATTTGAGCCCAAGACTGCCTGACACCAAAACCTGAGCTCTTCACCCCTCTGCTGCGCTGCCTTTCCTGGGGTGCTTGAATTTCAGTGGGGTGAGGTCCTCCACGTGTTAGGATCTTACGTTCATCTGAAAGGAAGGGGAAGTACAGTTTCAAGGGAGGATGCAGAGTCGAAGAACAGAAGCTCATCAGTTGGTCCCTAAGGCCCGCGTTCGCAATGGTGCCGCTCTGTTCACCAGACAGGGGATAAAACTGTGACCACAGGGCTGGAGGGGACTTGAGACTCAGGCATGAGACTCCGGCTTTTTGATTTCATGAAATAGTACAATTCAAAAAATAGAGAGTAACAGAGGGTCACTAACTCTTTTCATGTTCATAGTATTGTTCTCATTTAACATTTTTGTTATTAGTATTTACTACTTAATTTTCATATTTTGGTTTCATGAAACCGTAACATTTCTAAACAAATGAGAGAGGTGAAGGGTTACTAACTCTGCGTAGTTAATCTTGTTCTCTTTAATAATTTTTGTTTTTATCAGTTCTACTGCAAAATAAATTCTACTTTCTTTGTCCAAACCAAAAAAAGACAAAATGAAGTTCAGGCCCTGTTTAAAAGGGAGTATGTTTGGTACAGCAGCACTGGTGTTCTTTCCAAGCCTTATTAAATGTAATAATGCACCATGCATTTAGGTTATAAATATAAACAAATGGAAGCCAAAGAGTGAACATCTCATTGTGGTGCAAGATACTCATGTAAGAACACAGTTCTGTGAAGGCTGCCAGGTGCTATAGACTGAATGACTGTCCCCCACCACCCACTAATTATGATGATATTATGAGGTGGCGCCTTTGGGGCATGATTAGGTCCTGAGGGTAGAGAAGCCCTCACACATGGGATTTATACCTGTATTAAGAAAAACTATTTCCCACCTTCCTATGTAGGGAAAACCCCAGTTCTTCTCTACTGTCTGTTATTCTGTGTGTCTCTTACCTTCACTGAGAACACTTCACCTCTGACACTTCTGGACACCAAATATGTGGAGGTTTTTTCATATAACAAGCAATTCTCTGTGACACTAGCTCAGTGTCCTACAATTTAACTCAATTCTGACACTATTTACTCAGAGAACTAGCATAGGATCCCATAGATTAAGGACTTGGTCCCACAAACCTGCCCCCTACCAACACACACACTTCAGACACCAGCTGCAAGACCACGTTACCAACTGTGCTTCTGACCAACCGGCTTATAGGTCAGAGGTTCCAAAGACCCCCCACCATGGGTTTGATTAAATTGCTAGAGCAGCTCACAGAACTCAAGGAAATGTTTGTATTTACCAGTTATCAAAGGCATGATAGAGGATACAGACTAATAGCTTGAAGAGCTACACAGGGCAAGGTCTGGGAGGGCCCTGAGTCGGCTCCTGTCCCTATGGAGTTGGGACGTGCCACCCTACTTGTATGGATTTATTTGCCCACCTGGAAGCTCTCCAAACTCCATGCTATTAGGATTTTATGGAAGCTTCACATAGGCCTGATCAGTTATTAACTCTATTTCCAGCTTGCCCTCCCTTCTCTGGAGGATGGAATTGGGGTCTGAAAATTGCACGCTTCTAATCATGGCTTGGCCTTTCTGGTGAGCAGCCCCCATCCAGGAGCCCACCCAGAGCTGCTCATTACAGCAAAAGGTGCTCCTAGTGCTCTTACCTTAGGAGCTTAAAAGGGTCTCAGGAGCTCTATGCCAGGGATCAGGGGCTGAGACCAATATATGTATTTTCTATTATCTCATAGAAAGAGACTCCAGAGAGTTCTTCATCCCTTCCGTCAAGTGAGGATACAGCAAAAAGACTATGAACCAGGGAGCAGTTTCTTGCCAGACATGGAATCTGCTGGCAGCTTGCTCTTGGACTTCCTAGCCTCCAGAACTGAGGGGAAAAAATGCTTATTATTTAAGCCACCCAATCTATGGTATTTTTGTTATAGCAACTTGAGTGGCCTTGACACCACGTGGCAAGGAGAACATTGCCTTCTGCCTTCTCCTGATCACAGTGAAATGGGAATTTTTCAACACTGCACCCTAGAAACTTTTATGCACTTTAAATACACTGTTTAAATTACTGAAGCTTTCGCTTTGAGGCTATGCTTTAAAATCCACTGGGGCAAATCTCCACTCATTGCTCTTGTTCAAATTTCTTGTTTTGTCAGATAAGGACATGGCAAGGAAAAAAATACCCCATTATACTATCATTTCAGTAAGACAGGACTTAACATCAAAAAAAGCAAGAAGGGCAAAATCTCACAATAAAGGATAATTCTTTAAACTGAATAGCTTAGCTGTATGAAAAATTTAGGACAATGTCATTATGCACCTCATTTTGCCACAGGCCTGTAAGAGGAGACCACCACAAGGGAACCGAACTTGGTTGGAGATAGCTCAAGTTTGGTGTTACACGTGGGAGGAGAAGAGGGCCCGCATAAGGGATTTCACTGGCTAGTTAGCTGCAGGCACAAACTCAGGCCTAGAAGCTGGCCCTGGATACCTAGGGGCTTTTCAGGACCCCCACATGGTGCTCACTTATGTGGACTAAAAGTTAATGACTGACAGGTTTTCAGTGTGAAAACTTTCCCTAATCCAGATCAATCTGTACCTTATCTAGTGAAAGATAGAAAATTCTTAAAAGTTGTAGGTGTCCATTCTGATTGAAATAAATTACAGTACAGACTCTCCTCTGTAGGCATTTCCAATCTGCTGTTGTGTTTTAAAAACTGAAAACGTGAATTAAGAAAAGCTAGAAGCTACATGGGATACTTTTGAAGTAAAAGAGCAGGACAGATGTCAGGGTTCCGAGTTATTTCACCTCAAGCCAAATTACCTAAAGGCAACAGTTTGATCTAAGACCCACTTGGGTCACTGTGTTTATCTAATTAACATTATCAGTGTTAACCCATAGAGCCCAGGCCTCACCATACCATGACTTTGGCTAATGACAGGTTTTGTTTTTATACCCAGATTATTATATCCCAAGCTTCTCGTAGTTGGAAATTAACTCCCCTGAAGGTGACATTCTCTCCCCCACTCCCATCTTCTGCTTTTTAGGGATATGCTTGGGGAATTTTAAAGTGTACTCTGTGCTCTGTAACATCTCTTGGGGTTTCCAGCCTGGTTTTCTCATCTTTCCATGACCTCTGCTCTTGTAGCCCCCGTGAGCCAGCACTCAGCATGGTCAGTTACCCCCTACTGGTGACCTTCAACTGATAAACCCACCTCTCCTAGAGAGAAACAGTTCTTACCATGTTTCCCCCTGCCGTCCCCCGCCTCCAAAGCCTGGGGCAGGCACTCAGCAGCCCCTGGAAGTGGCTTCTTGTGGGCCTACAGGCCCAAATGTAACCTCAGGAGCCCTTCACAAGCAGGACTCATCTGGCTCTGGGACTTCACATCCCAGGGCCAGGGCCACATCCCTTTTCTTCTCCATCAGGAATCTCCAAGCACTTGAGACTCCAGACCTGACTGGTCCCACTGGGCCCAGAAAAACCAAGTCTTTCCTCCCAAACTTGATTTACATCTGCTTCCTCAAAAAAGCCCAACACAGCAGGCCCTCCCAGAATGGAGGCAACTCAAGCCTGTACTGTTCAAATCAAAAAATATTTCAAATAGTATATTTTTTCCAGCTTCACAATGCTTACTAAGGTCTTCACCAAGTACTTCCTTACAGTCTGTGAGAGGATGATGTCTCTATAGCCCTCTAGACAACTAGCAACCTCAAGGTGAGTGCTGGTAGCACCTGAAACCTACCCAAGTGGCCACATATACTGTAGTGCAACCATGCCCTGCTCTCTGGCTTCATCACTTAGATGGGCTTTAAATGTCATCTAGCTCTTCGCTGATGCTGTACTTGATTGAAGGAAGACCACATGGCCTGTCCAGTAGTAACAGAGAAGCACAGAGCAGGCCAGTGGGAGGAAGCACAGCCAGGGGCTGAGAGTGCAGACTTGGAGCTTGCTCTATTTGCAAACTTGAGGAAATGTGTCACCCTCCAAGCCTCAGTTTTCTCATCTGTAAAGATGGGATAATAATATTGCCTCCTTTGTAGATTGTTGTAAGGATTTAATATTAAACAATGCCCATCACATAGTAAAGTCTCAATAATGTTAGGAATTGTTGTTTCTTTAAGC